TGACTCTTCCAGGGAAGAGTAACTGGAGAGGCCATAAAATATCCCTCTCCGATGGGAGACTAGCAAGCACAGCAAATAACCAATTACTCCAAATAGTTTACAGATTTCGGCTGGGCCTGGTTTCTGGCTCAGGTTTCTTGCGCTAACTTGTTGCTTAATGGCTTATTTGTGTTAGAGACAGCAGAAGGTCTGGCAGGATCCGCCATGCCAAAAAAAAAAACCTCTGGAATCTTCAACTGAGGGGAAAGCCTCCTCCCGAAGTCAATCAATCAATCGGAATAGAGCCGGAAGGAACCTTGGGGGAAAAAAAGTGACTTATGGCCAGAGGTGGTATTCAGCTGGTTCTGACCAGTTCCGGAGAAATTTATAGTAGTTCGGAGAACCGGCCAATCCCACCTCTGACTGGCCCCGCCGACCCCGTCTCTCCTCTGCCTCCCATTGAGTCCCAGCTGATCGGCTGGGTCTCCTTTGGTTGCCCTCCACAGGAGAACGGAGCTGGAAAGCAGGTTAGTGGGGTGGGGAGGGAAGGGGGATTTTGCAGTATATCCTTCCATTGTCATGCCCACCAAGTCACACCCACAAAATCTATACCCTGTTTCCTAGACTTGACTCAGGCTGCACTCACCCCCACCTGCTAAACCACAAAAATCCTACCCGGGCTTAGTGTGCAATGCAAATTCAACCACATCTTTGTGAATACAGCCCAGGTGTGACAAGCTGACCTACAACGTTCAACCCTCTTTATTTACCAAGAAAAAGGAACCCCTCACTCAGTAGGAGGGGGCCAGGCAGCCATCTACCCATCCCAGAGGTGGGATTCAGCAGGTTCTGACCAGTTCTGGAGAACCAGCAGCAGGAATTTTGAGTAGTTCGGAGAAGCGGCCAATCCCATCTCTGACTGGCCCAGGGGTGGGATTCAATTTTTTAACAACCGGTTCTGTGGGCGTGGCTTGGGTGGTGGGCATGGCTTGGTGGTCATGTGACTGGGTGGACGTGGCTTTGGTGGTCATGTTGTTGGCTGGGCGTGGCCAACTCAATATCACTCACATCGAGGCACGCATCTCCTCGCCTGGCCTCTCACGACTGTGGGGATGCTGCAACAGTCGTAAGTGTGAAAAACGGTCATAAGTCACTTTTTTCAGTGCCATTGTAACTTGGAATGGTTACTCCAAGCAAAGTACCAGCAAAGGAGGGGAAAAGAACTCCAGAGAAGTTCCTGAGACAGGAAGTCTAGTCCTGCCAAGAACGTAATAAGGGTTAACGGAGAGGCAGTTTCTGTAAGCAACACCAGAATGTTTCCTTCCTGTCTTCCTTACAGGATTAGCCCAGTCATTTCTTCTAACAACTGGTTCTCCCAACTGCTTAGGATGTTAACAACTGGTTCTAGCGAATAGGTGCGAACTGGTAGAATCCCACCCCTGAATGGCCCCACCAACCCCCACTATTCTCTGCCTCCTGAGTCTCCTTTGGTTGCCCTGCAGAGGAGAACGGAGCTGGAAAGCAGGTCAGTGGGGTGGGGAGGGAAGGGGTTATTTGCAGTAACTTCCCCTTCTATGCCCACCAAGCCACACCCACCAAGCCAAACCATGCCCACCAAGCCATGCCCATAGCTGATCGGCTGGGTCTCCTTTGGTTGTGCTGCACAGGAGAAGGGAGCTGGAAAGCAGAGCAGTGGGGTGGGGAGGGGAATTTTGCAGTATCCTTCCCCTGCCATGCCCACCAAGCCACGCCCAAGCCACACCCACAGAACCGGTAGTAAAAAAAAAAATTGAATCCCACTTCTGCTTGTGACCGTTTTCCACCGTTAGGACCACGTCGTGTGATCAAAATTCAGGCACTTGGCCATCGATTCATATTTATGATGGCGTCTCGGTGATCCCCTTTTGCGACTTTCCGACAAGCCAAGCCAACCTGGAAGCCAGATCCACTTAACAACCAAGGAGGCTAACTTAACAACTGCAGCGATTCACTTAAACATGGGGGCAGGAAAGATCATAAAAAATGGGTCAAGTCTCCCTTAAGAAATGTCTCACTTAACCACAGAACTTCGGAGCTCAATTTTGGTCCTACGTCAAGGGCTATCTCTACACAATAAGCACAAGGACTGGGCTAAGATCCCTTTGGGTGAGGCCACCAAAGGCTCAGCTCCACGGAGCAAGACCCTCAGATGCTGTCCACCACCCAGAACCTAGATTCTTAGAGATGGATGGGACCTCAGAGGCCTTCTAGTCCAACCCTGCTCTGCCCAACGACTGAATGAAAAACTGCTGGTGACCTTCTACTGCTGCACCATAGAGAGTATCTCAACTTACTGCACTTCTGTATGGTTTGCCAATTGCAGATAGGACAGTGCTTCCAGAGGGTTAATGTCATTGCCCTGAGGATCATGAGTTGCCCTCTCCCCTCTTTGGAAGAGCTTTATAGCTCCCGCGGCCTTAAGAAAGTTCAAAACATCCTCAAAGATCCATCTCATCCTGGGCACCCTTGTTTTGAACTATTACCATCTGGCAGACGGTACAGAATAATAAAAACAAGGACAAATAGGCTGAAAAACAGCTTCTATCCCAGGACAGTAGCTCTTTTGAATTCTACTGTATAGGGCAATATTAATGCAATATCAAAGGTTTGAAATTCAATGTATATAGAAGGTGAAGGATGTTGTCTGTTTTTGTTTTCATAGTCATAATGTACACTGAAGATGGTATTTAATTTCGTTGTACGAGGTGCAATGTCAATGAAGTGAAGTAAAAACCAAGGCCACAGACCTCATGCCATCTGGGACCAATGGTTCCCCAATCTCTTCTCGAAAAGAGACGGGGCATCCACAACTCCAGGAGGTGAGCCATGACTCTTTGCAAACCATGGGACCCAGATCCAGACTGAGGGCTGGATCGCGCAACTGCACTCCCGATTCCTCAAGGCCGCGGGCCCAACCCCAGGTTCCCATTGTGAGCCATACACTCGATCAGGGGTGGGCTTCACAATTTTTTAGCAAGGGGGAACCTGTCTGGTTGCTGGGTGGGCATGGCCAGGGTGGGCGTGGCCTAGTCGGCCTCCTGCATCATGGCAGGGGTGGGGCATTTTGCCTTCCCAAGGCCCTGGAGGCTTTCCTTGAGCCTCCGGGAGGGTGAAAATAGCCTCCTCGGGCTCCGGAGGCTCTCTGAAAGTCAGAAACAGGCCCATTTCCGGCCTTCCCAAACTTCCAGGAGGACTGTTTTTCGCCCTCCCAGAGCCTCTGCACATACCCTGCACTTATGTGCATCCAAAATGGGCCGTGTGGGGACTCCTGGGAGGGGCGGGGTGGACGGGGCCAGCCAGGAGTGGGATTTGGGGGTTCTCCAAACTGCACAGAATCTTAGCTACAGGGGTAGGATTCTACCAGTTCGCACCTATTCTCCAGAACCGGTTGTTAACATTCTAAGCAGTTCGGAGAACCGGTTGTTAGAAGAAATTACTGAGCTAATCCTGTAAGGAAAGCAGGAAGGAAACATTCTGGTGTTGCTTACAGAAACTGCCTCTCTGTTAACCCTTATTACATTCTTGGCAAGACTAGACTTCCTGTCTCAGGAACATCTCTGGATATTTTTTTCCCCTCCTTTGCTGGTACTTTACTTGTGTGGAGTGACCATTCAAAGTTACAATGGCCCTGGAAAAAGTGACTTATGACCCTTTTTCACACTTACGACTGTTGCAGCATTCCCCACAGTCACGAGAGGCCAGGCAAGGAGATGCGTGCCTTGATGTGAGTGATATTGAGTTGGCCACGGCCAGCCAACAACATGACCACCAAAGCCACGCCCACCAACTAAGCCATGCCCACAGAACCGGTTGTTAAAAATTTTGAATCCCACCCCTGCTTAGCTAGGGGCTTTCCCAAACCCCTGCAAACCGCCCAGCAGTCCAGCCCTGTGCCCTGATCCTAAACATTTCGACCTAACTTCTCCCCCGTGGCCGCTGTCGGCCTTCCTCCACCACCCGCAGCCGGCAGGTCTGCTTTTGCTCTGCAAAACCCCTTGGCAAAAAAATAATAATAATAACCGTCTCGGTTCCCAGCTGAGCATCCGTTCCAGACCTTCCTCCCCTGTCAGCAGCTCCTTCAGGAGTGAGCTTGATTGTGTTTAATGACCTTGGTGCTAGAATCCCACACACACAAGCCGTGACCGAGGTCACCGCCGACTGCGGAGTTTCCGGTCTTCCAAATGAATGTCTTGCAAGTTTGCTGCTGGTTGTTGGCGACTATTTAATTTATTTAATTTGGCTAAAGGGAAACCATGTAGCCATAGCTGTACCTTTCCCAAATAACCTTCCTTTGTATCCTCTGGATGTTAAGGAAAAGTACTCTCTGACCCAGAGTTGCAACCGATCCAGAGGTGATATTCAGCAGGTTCTGATCAGTTCTGGAGAACCGGTAGCGGAAATTTCAAATAATTTGGAGAACCAAAAATCCCACCTCTGACTGGCCCCGCCCCCATCTCTTCTCTGCCTCCTGTTGAGTCCCAGCTGATCGGCTGGGTCTCCTTTGGTTGCCCTGCACAGGAGAACGGAGCTGGAAAGTAGGTTAGTGGGGTGGGGAGCAGAGGTGGTATTCAGCCGGTTCTGACCAGTCCTGGAGAACCAGTAGCGGAAATTTTGAGTAGTTCAGAGAACCGGCCAATCCCACCTCTGACTGGCCCCATCAACCCCATCTCTTCTCTGTCTCCCGTTGAGTCCCAGCTGATCGGCTGGGTCTCCTTTGGTTGCCCTGCACAGGAGAACGGAGCTGGAAAGCAGGTTAGTGGGGTACGGAAGGAAGCGGGATTTTGCAGTATATCCTTCCCCTGCCATGCCCACCAAGCCACGCCCACCACGCCCACAGAACCGGTAGTAAAATAATTGAATCCCACCACTGAACTGATCTTTAGAAACATCTAAACTGGGACACCCAGTTCTGCCTTTCTGGCGAGGCCAAAGTCAAGCAAACAAGTCAGGTAACGTGGGGTGAGGTAGGAAGCCATACATACATGGAGATGGGGTCGAGCGGTTTGCGTGTTAATTAAAGCCGGGCTGGTCATGCCATCCGCAAGCTACAAATTAAAATGTTCGATTAGCGAAGGGTTAGACAAACAGTCGAAAATACAATCACAAAAGCGAAAGGTTTTCGTACAGAAAACAAATGCCATCTCGTTTCTCCTCAAACAGCATCAAAGAAAGCTCTCCAGCCTTTCGACAGGTAGAAATTCATATCCAGCCGCAGGAGGTCAAACGTACAGGAATTTTAAAAAAATATATATTGTTATCTAACAAGGATGGCCAAAGCACCAGAGGGCAGGACAAGAAACAGTGGTTGGAAACTGATCAAGGAGAGAAGCAACCTGGAATTAAGGAGGAATTTCCTAACAGTGAGGACAATTAACCAGTGGAACTGCTTGTCACCAGAAGTGGTGGGTGCTACATCACTGGAGGCTTTTAAGAAGAGACTGGACAGCCATTTGTCTGCAATGGTATCGGTTCTCCTGCTTGAGCAAAGGGGCTGGACTAGAAGACCTCCAGGGTCCCTTCCAGCTTTAAGGTAAAGGTAAAGATTCCCCTCACACATACATGCTCATCTCTGTTACAAAGCCAAAGAAGAGCCAGCGCTGTCCAAAGTTGTCTCCGTGGTCAGGTGGCCGGCATGACCAAAGCCTTCGAAGGCGCACGGAACGCTGTTATCTTCCGACCAAAATGGTCCCTATTTTTCTACTTGCATTTTTTTAACGTGCTTTCAAACTATTAGGTTGGCAGAAGCTGGGATAAGTCCCGGGAGCTCACTCTGTTACGGGGCGCTAGGGATTCGAACCGCCGAACTGCCGACCTTTCTGATCGACAAGCTCAGCGTCTTAGCCCCCGAGCCACCGCATCCCTTCCAGCTCTCTTCTATTGGAAACCTTCTTCCATGCTAACCCCCCGATGGCAAAAGGTGCCAGGTGGCCCCTTAGGAGAAACCCAAAGGTACACCAGAAAGGCCCCGAAAGACGTCGGGATAGAAACCTTGACTCATCCCTGGCAATTTATGACCTAAAGCAGAATTTCTGCAACCGAGCGGTCTCTCTCTCTCCGGCTACCGCGTGACTCTGGTAACGCCGGCTGGAAAATTTGGGGAGTTGCAACTGAGAAACTCCTGCGGGCAAAAGGAAAGGCTGAATGGAGGTCACAGGAAACCCAGGATGCAAAATGAAGGATGATCAACCGGGGACATCCTGTGTAACAGAAGCTCTCAGGATCTCCATGGGCAACCACGGGCTTTGACTGAGATCAGATTTAGGGCCGCCCGTTGCCAAGACAAACAACAGGCGGGATTATCCCATTACAGCCTCCAAACTCGCTCAATTATCCAATTATTATAATGATCAATTATTACGTTGACTGAACGGTCCCACCTCAAGAATGCTCACGAAAGGGCTCCTCTTCGGCTCGAGGGGAAGTATCAGGTGGACGGGCGCGTTGATTTCTACATATTTTCGTCAGCAGGGAGCGGGTCCTGCAGAGTTTACAGATGACACGAAAACTGGGGAAGGGGAGTTTGGGGGGGGGGGAAGGGGAGGGGGTTGGCTAATACTTTAGAGCCAAACCGGGAAAGTCGGAGAAAGCAAGAAAAAGCAGGAGCACCCGGGCTGAAATAGAATTAGAATAGAATAGACTAAACCGAGTTGGAAGGGGCCTTGGAGGTCTTCTAGCCCAACCCGCTGCTTAGGCAGGAAACCCTACACCACTTCAGACAAATGGCTGTCCAATCTCTTCTTAAAAACACTTCCAGTGTTGGAGCATCCACAACTTCTGGAGGCAACGTTATTTCCAACTGATTCATTGTTTCTCACTGTCAGGAAATTCCCCCTTAGTTCTAGGTTGCTTCTCTCCTTGGTTAGTTTCCACCCGTGGCTTCTTGGAGAATGAATTAGATTAACAGAGTTGGAAGGGACCTTGTAGGTCATCTAGTCCTCCAACACACACACACACACACACACACACACACACACACACACACACACACACGCCGCCTAAGCAGGAGACCCTACACCATTTCTGGCAGTCCTTCTTGGAAGTCTCAAGCGATGACTCCAAGTTCAATGCAGTCTGCCCTACACAGATGTGCCTAACAGAAGAACAGAGTTGGAAAGAACCTCAAAGGTCTTCTAGTCCAGCCTCCTGCTCAACCAGGAGACCCTGAACCATTTCAGGTAAGTGGCTGTCTTGTCTATTCTTAAAATCCTCCAGTGATGGAGCACCCAGAACTTCTGTTCCACTGATAAATTGTCCTCCTGGTCAGGAAATTCCTCCTTAGTTCTAGGTTGCTTCTCTCCTTGATTAGTTTCCATCCATTGTTTTTCGTCTTGCCTTCGGGTGCTTTGGAAAATAGATGGACCCCCCTCTTCTTTGGGGCACCCCTTAAATATGGGAAGACTGCCCCCCATACTTCATTAAACTACACATACCCAATTCCTACATCTCAAGACTCTTTTCCTCATTGACCTCAGCAGCTGTCAATTCAGCACCTGGTTGTACCATCAACAAGATGCAGCCCCAACTAGCCTCAAAGGAGTTCTCCCCACAGGTAGTTCCACAGCAAACCCACGTTAGCCTTGAAGGTTGTTCCTTGATGCTGTTTTTCCGTATGACCTTTTTCTAGCACCTGAGCTGGCTTACCTGGACTGAGATGAGAGGTTCTTTGTCATCAATGTCAATCAGAACATCATCTTTTGGGGTGAGGCTCATGTCATCTGTAACAAATGAAGGGGAAGAAACATAGCTTCGGTTTTTGGGAGTTGACTATTCTTGCTTTCATCGATGTGTCTTTCAAACCATCCCTGTCACTCAACAGCTGCTTAAGCAGTCTTCCAAAGGAGTCTTTCAGACCAAAAGGATGGAACAGGGAAACTTTGGACACTATGATTTAGACACATTGTCTGGGAAGATTCAAGATATATTAAAGTATCAAGCAGGCCACGTGATGGATCTTCTCCAATCCATCATTGTTCTGGGTGTTGTACTCAATAACATCTGGAGAAGAAGGACAGACACCATAAAACCAACCCCGAACCAACAAACTCACAGATAGGTGACCATGGGTAGTCAGACCTTCAGGAAATCACCATAGTCAAGAGACTTTAGTGGACCATAAATCAAACTTTCAGATGATACTCAAGAACAGGTATCTCCAAACTTGGCCACTTTGAGACCTGTGGACTTCAAGTTCCAAAATTCCTCAGCCAACTTGTCTACTTTAAGACTTGTGGGCTTCCAACTCCAGGAATTCCCCAGCAAGCTCTGGGAGTTGGAAGTCTACAAGTCTTAAAGTATCCAAGTTGGCTGGAGAATCCTGGAACTTGAAGTCCACAGGTCTCTGTGATGACGAAGAGCGTGGCACAAAGGCAATACACTCAAATAATATGTAGGAGTTCCCTTATGAGCTCCAACTTTGCCCCCAATGTCCTGGTTGCCTTCTGGCTGGAGAAAAACTCTCCCATGAACAGCCTTTGGCTGCAAAGAATCGTCCAAAACATGATCAACAAAAACTGTAACTATAAGTCCAATCAAGGCAAAATGAGTTAATTAGTCTGGCAGGGCAAGAGAAGGAATTCTAGACATGAAGGAGTGGCAGTCATTCAATCCAGGGAGGATGCCAGAAATGCAGATAACCGCAGCCAACACAAGATAAACTCACATTTGTTCCCAGCAGCCACTACACTCAGCATGCATCTCTGTTAAACCCTCATTCCCAGGTGTGGCTAATGAAGGGTATCAGGGCCCTTTCCTCCCCTGTAAGCCATGCAACCCATGTTGCTCCCTTCTTCGTTCCTCCCTGCGTGCCCTAGGATGAAGAGGCGGTGGGCCCGGTTCTTCCTCTGAACTCCCTCTCCCTTGTTCTATCTCTCCCCTGCTCTGCCCAGCCAGACTTTACCCTTCCCCAGTTTCCTCCACAGCCAACAGAGCCACACTCCCCTTCCCTATCAGCTGTTCATCTTCCTCCTCAGATTCAGACTCTGACAGGGGCATGACAGGTCTCAAAGTGACCAAGTTTGGAGACCCCCCCCGCCACTCAAGAACGAGGCTTCCTTTGCTAATATCACATGTCATTTATTGGTCCCAGGAAAGCCACCCATTTTTAGGATCACCCAAAGATCTTCCACCCTTCCTGACCTGGGTGGGTTTCAGGAAATACCGCGTCTTCTTTGTAGGGGTCACAGAGGAATGCTTCCAGGGATCGGATGGTGCACTGGCCCACCACAGGTTTGCGGCCAAAGGGTCTGTTGTCGATGACTTTGATGACGATGGGAGGACAGTAGAGGTCTTCCCTTGGCAGGCGCTGGGAGAAGAACCGGCCCAGTTGGCACCCCGGGGCAGAGAGAGAGAGAGAGAGAGGGAGAGAAGCGGGGGGGAAATATTTATTCAATATATTTAATATTACATGCCTTGAAGGCAGCAAGAATTGCATATGCACAACAGTGAAAAAATGAGGAACCACCCATTAGAACAAGATGTCATTAAAAAAATACTAGATTTAGCAGAAATGGATAGGTTGACATCAAGGATGAAAGATAAAGAAGATACAGAATAGTTTCAAACATGGGACTTATTTTATCAATGGCTGGACAATAGAAGTAAAAATTAGAAATTGGAAAAATACTGTTATGCATGTCTTAGGTTTAATATATTATTATTACATGATATACTATTATGTAAGCAAATTAACCCAGACAATAATATTTTTTGTTAGGGATAGTACCAGAAAAATAGAATATGGGGAATTTGTATTTAATATTGCATGGTTTGATGGCAGCAAGAATTGTACATGCACAGTATTGGAAAAATGATGAAACACCAAGAGAAGATGTAATTTAAAAAATATTAGATTGCACAGAAATGAATAGGCTGACATTCAAGATAAAAGAAAAGGAAGATACAGAATACCTTCAAACATGGGATTTGTTCTATAAATGGTTGGATAATAGAGGTAGAAATTAGGAGCTAGAAAAACATTATTATGTAAGCAAATTGACCGAGACAATATATTGTTCACAAAGCACTTATGTATGTTAAATGAAAATGTACAAATAAACAATTGAAAAGGAGGAGGAGGAGGAGGAGGAGGAGGAGGAGGAGGAGGAGG